GTACCTTTGGTATCGCCAGCGACACAGACCCACTCACCCAACGTAGTACGAGTCCTGGTCCGGATTAGCGACAGACTTGCCGTTGAGGACAACAATATATTATTATGATTGTATCGAAAATTCTATCAAAAAATATTCAATATGCCCAAGACCTGATTGCAAGAAGGAGATAAAAGAGGCAAAGTCTCAAGACTATGTCTTATTTATGGTTGATGCTATGTCTGGAAGTCAGAATACCAACGATTCGATGGATATATCTCCAGCATTATTTACTGCCTACTTCTCAAGTCTGCCCTAATACTCAAGTCTGTCTGAAAAGCGCGTTAGTGAATTTACCAGCAAATCATTCAGCAAGAAAGTAAAGAAGCATGTTTCGAAAGAAGATTCTCCTATATTAAAAAAAACTTATTGAGGAATTGACATCAACAATATCTGAAAATTCTAAAAAAGCAATAGAAGTTAATAAAAGCATCAATAATTTTTTGTACCATTATAACAAAATTATGCAGACTGAATCTAAAGTGAGTAGAGAAGTTATTGAAAGTTATTTTAGCTTTGGTGAAGCTATGAAAAAACATTTCAATCATTATAAGAATCTGAAACATGGAGATCGAGCTTGCTTGGCTCTTGTTAATAATGAAATCTGGAAACAACTCCCCGATAATATCACCAACGATGCATTGAAAAAAAAAAAAGAGTGAGCAGGAAAAATATATAGTTTATTTGTTAATATTAGTAAAGAGAAAATAAAAGATATTAGATTATTTTCGGCATCAAACATTTAAAACTTAAGCCAAGAAAATATTGATTATGTGATAGTCAAAGTTTTAAAAAAGAAGAATAGAATATAATTGTTACTGTGCCATGTTGCTGCATCAGTGACATCGATGTCATGTCTGAATTCATACATTAATAAAGTTATAATTCTATTATTTCACAACTATATATGTATCATATGAATTATATGTACTGATTAAATGATCCAATTTCTTGTAGACCCAAAGGGGAATTGGAAATTCGATGCTTTGCATCATCATTGCTTCGCAATAAGCTTTATTGCCATTTAAATCATATGTCTACAGGAAATGTGCAGTGTCAAAATGAACTAACATCTACCAATTCATTAATTGTTGTCAATTATCCATTATCTAACAGTTAACCTGTCATATATTCACATATTGCCTAGAAACCCATTGCAAAGCAATAATCAGGTGATTAAATTTTGTTAATAGCAAGATGGATAAAAAATAATGCTTTATGACTTGTAGAGTTTACATTGTTTACGCCAATCACTTTTGCCAAGAAAATTTTCGATTATTATTATCAGCAGATTTATACATCACTTACAAAATATGACAATTATATACAACTCATCTAATAACCCAGGCCCTATAGAGCGCTTTTCAAGCATCTGCACTAAAATTGAATCATACTATTCTAGAGTATATAATTATTAGTGGAACTAGCAAGGCTAAATCAAATAGGTCTAAATATCCTAATTGATAAATATGTCTGGTTTTGATATCACTACTATTATTGATAAAAAAGATAAAACATTTTCTAAACCATATATTAATTATCTTGGTTTTGATATGAAGTATACTGTATCATATTAATTACATTATGTCAAAACTTATGCTAATAAACTCAATCAAATTTTTGATAATAAGAGATTATTTGATATATTATCCATTATAAAACAGAATGAAACACCAGTTCAATGGGCAATATGGGTCAGAGTACCTTTACAGAATTTATTAAATGCTAGGAAATTTAGTGTATATCACTGGCTATGTTTATTCACATCATTTGATAAAGGTAAATTTGTCAATTTCAACTATTATAGATCAAGAATCCATAAAAGTCATGTGGCTATTTGTTTTGGTTGCTGAAAACTTGTAAAAATCAATGATATACAGCCCAAAAAAATATTTCATTTTACTAAACAAAGATATATTGATTATCTCGTACCTAGTGATTTGATGATCGGTCATTGAAATAATGAATGCGACAAACCAAAGACTGATTTCGGAAAAGTAAGGATTATACAAAGAGCTTGGAGAAATTACAAGAATAGACCTGAATTATTAGCCACCCAAGCTTGAAATTTGTTAAGAAATGATTATACTTCTGATAAAAAATTTTTAGGTTTAACAAGACATAAAGTAAAAAATTCTCAGACTTGGGAACAATTTAATTAATAGCATACTAAATAGATTGAAATATATAAAAATGATCCTATGATACGCAGTTTCATTATTAATAGACAATATGAAGAATATTATATTCCAGTTAATTGGATAGATTCTAAAAAGAGTCAATTGCGGGTTAGATTCCGAAAGTGACTTTTAGAAATAGGAGCATAAACTTTAGACTTTATTTCATTATCTCTGAGGGCTGGTAATATTTTTTATGGCATAGCCATGAGTTCTTATCTCTACTTTAGTTTCTATATACAGTTATTTTATCCAACACAAAAACCCCTCTTGATACAAATAGAATTTATTTATTTTTTAACATCTACTTCAACCTCAATCAGGCTGGATACTAATAGCTATTTTATTGGAGAATAATAATGAATAAGATGTTAAAACTATCCACCCCAATTTCAATCATGGCTGGATTGTTCATTTTAAATAAAAAAAAATAAATTATTAAATGGCAAATCGATTATCATTAATTGAGGCTTGTAAGATTGCAAAAAGACATGGAGGTATGTGTCTCTCTTTTGAATATAAAAATAATAGAACACACATATTATAGCACTGTTCTAATAATCATATTTGGTCTGCACCTCTGTTAAATATCAAATATCACAATGATGGATATTCTAAATGTAATTCTCGAAGAAGAAAAAATTCTATAGAAATGGCTAGATATCTTGTATATATTAAAGGTGGGGAATGTCTCTTAACAGACTATCAAAATAATCACACAGTAATATTATGGAAATGTGTTAAAGGATATTAGTGGAGAGCTAGATTCAATAATATTAAAAGTGGAAACTGGTATCTATTTTGTCTTGGGTGTAATAGAACAATAAAAGATATGCAAACTTTTGTACAAACAAGAAATGGAGATTGTATCTCAGATAAATATTATAATATACATACAAAATTAGAATGGCATTGTAACAAAGGACATATATGGATGGCTCAGCCTAATAATATTATTAAAAGAAGACAGTGTCCTTATTGCTTTTATAAACTTGAAAATTTATGTCGTGAAATTGTTACTAAATATTTAGGTCCACCTTCTTATACCCGCAGGCTAAATTTCTTAAAAACCTTTGAATATCTATATGAATTAGAGCTTGATATTCCCTATTATAATTATGGTTTTGCGATAGAAGTACAAGGGGAGTATCATGAAAAATAGAATAAATTCTTTGATAAAGGTAATATTAGAAACTTTATTGAATGACAAAAGTGAGATCAGCTTAAAAAAGAACTTTGTGATAAAAACAATATTTATTTATTTTATATTTGATATAATGATAAAAATCCATATGAAATTATTTGACAAGAACTATGGGCATTAGAACTTATCAATTAATTTTGTATTAATTCTCTTATAAATATTCAATAAAATTTTCTATTTATTTTTTTCTTGTTCTGACTATCAAGAAGTGGCGAGTAGGATGTAGGGCATAGCCCATTGCTTTGCTGCTGTATTAATAAATAACAAAAAAAATAATTATTTGGTTGTCAAAGCTTGGTTTATTCATCTAATTTCAATGGGGTATCCCAACCAACCCGTACGCTTAAAGGATCGTCTACTGCCTTAGTAAAATCAAAAACCACGAATTCACGATTCCGCAAATGCTTATCAATAATCTTGGATGCCTTTTTTGGATCATCTACGATTCTACTAATATCGTCTCTACTACCCGATCCCCGGAAATTAGTACTAAAATCGCCAATGAACTCACCGATCGTCTCTCTGAAATTAATGCATCTTTCACTGTGGAACTCGGCAAAATTAATACCGAACTTAATACTGTAGTAAACTCACCGCAGAAATTGATAAATGCGTAATCAACTTATGTAATCATTCATCTGACCTATTTGTGCGTCTCGCACTGCTATATATGTGGTTACAATATTATTTTCAAAAAAAAAAAGTTACAAGGTATGCTTTTCTATTAAAATGTATATAGTTTTAGAAAAAACCGTTGCCTAAGAGTTATAATGCTTTCTTTTATAGATGTTTGGGAATCCAAAGCATAAGAAGAATCCAAAAAACCGGCGTCCTTCCAATAGTGAGCAAAAATCCTCAAAAAATGACAAGCCTAAGTTTCCACAAACCTCAGTAAATCCAGATTTTATTAAGGCATGCTTCGATGCGCGCACTGCTGGTAGTAATAATCCACCTCAAACTATAAGACTTACACAGGTTGCAGGTAGCTTGGCTTATGGTTATACTGAAGAAAGAAACAAGAGTGGAACTGTTGCTGTCGGCTACACAAATAATAATAAAGTTGTTATTGGACGCAGTCATTCCCTGTATCAAGGGAAAAAACCTGAGACTCGTGCCCCCAGTAAATATAATGTGAAACAGCAAGGCAGAAGCCCTCAAAATTGTGGCGAGCCAAAAGTTATCGACAGAGCTGATGATAGAGAGAGTAAAATTACTGAGACTGTAGCTGTTTACAGAAACCACAAGAAGCCAAATGGAATTATGATTGAACGCTGTCCAAATTGCAAGCAGTACCAATGCCTTGGCCATGTATATACTGACCACCTCAATGGAAAAATCGTCCCATCTGTGACAAAAGAAGAGAAGGCACGTGGCCAACCACACCTGCGCCCAATTCTCACAACTATTAGCGAAGTTGCATCAACATCTTCAAGTCTGTATTCTCCATCGTCAGGCACTCCACGTAATACGTACCATGGTTCTCGTGCCATTGAGCAGAAAGCCAAGAGCACATCAGCACAGTACAATCCTATGGATGTCACGTTGGGTGACCGGCGGTATAGCATCGGAACTACGCGAGGTTTTGTCAAGGAAGAAACCCCATTTGTAAGGAGGACTCGATCAAACAACAGAAATTGATATTGAAATTCTGTTTTTATTATTATTATTATGTTAAAAATTGTTTTTACAATAGATTTTATGTAGTTCACGATGTAATTTATTTTTAAATGAACCTATAAATAAGGAAATATGTATATTAAAAGTTGTTTATTACATGTTAGAAATTACGAGCCCAATGTGGATGTGCATTGGAGGAAATTTTTATTGCGGATAAATAAGATTATAGTCGAAAAAAATAACAAGTTTTAACTTTAATCAATAAGACCCAATTCTCGAAGATGCTCTGGAATAACAATATATGGGTCTTCGTAATACCAAACATACCTTAAAACAATTCAATTTTCTTCGCATAATTCTTTCTTAAGTTAATCTCGTGCTTGCTGTTTGATGAAATTATCGGGATCTCCTCTATGAAAGAATTTAATATATTTTTCGTGTTGTTCTCCTTGTACTTCAATCGCAAAACCATAATGGTAGTAAGGAATATCGAGTTCTAAACCTATCGGATGCTCAGGCGTTTTTAAGAAATCTGGTCTGCGATTTTCAGATGGCGGTCCAAGATACTTTGTTAAAATTTCTCGACATAATTTTTCACATTTATATTTATAGCAAAATCGACACCAGGTACCACTTTTTACATTACCAAGAGATGCTTGCCATAAATGGCCTTCTTTGCAACACCATAATAACGGCGATTGACTATTAACATACTTCTCTGAAAGACATTCCCCATGCCTATATAATGCAATTCGCTTCGCATCCTCAAGAGTTAATTTCATATTACCTGTGCAATATGGACACCAACTTCCTTGTTGAATACTATTGGGAATAGCCTCCCATCTATGATTGTTTTCACAAATCCATTCCAATTTTGTTTCCATTTTTTATTTGCGCAAGTTTACGCATATCCTTTATTGACTGATTTCGACCGATACAAAATGGACACCATTGTCCTCTATTTTTAACATGGTTAAGGTCATTTTGCCATTGATGGTTGAATTGACATTTTCAAATGAGCGGATCATTATTATTTTTATACTCAGTTGAAAGACATTCACCATGCCTGGATAATGCGATTTGCTTTTATTCTCAAGAGTTAACTTTATATTACCTGCACAAAATGGACACCATGCTTCGGAATATTTAATGTTATGAAATGGGCTATTCCAAATATGACCCTGATGACATTTCCATGACATTGGCATATCAGAATTTTTATATGTGGTTGAAAGACATTTGCCTAGAGATTTTATTAATATATAATTAATAATTAATTCTTTCACCATTATTTTCAATTATTAATTCACATCTCTCT